TGACGAATTATACTCGAATGCCTATTTCGAAGGTCTGTAAGTTTCTTGTCCAAAATCGACACTATCAGCTTAACATTTAGTTAATTGATTTCTCTAAACGTTTCTCTAGATGCCTACTGTTTATTTATTCCCTTAAAACCTTTCACGTTTGTATAAGCAACCAAAATTTGAGCACAAATGAGCCCTACATACCTGTCAAGAGTGGCGCTATCTTGGATTTACCCATGATGCAATGTGAATGGCACCGTTGGTTGTTTTTAGTTTTTCGTGTAATCCTGACAAAAATTTCTACCTCTAACAACTTTGAGGAGAAATAGAAATGTTTTCCTTACATGAAATATCTGAAGTACTGATTAAACGATCACAACCGTATACTTAAAGGATCTTATTCTGAGCCTCGTTTCCATGCTGAAGCCATTTTTTGCGAAATTTTAAACTAAAAAACTCATACAAAGCAACTCATTCAGAAAGGTTATCATACAAATTTGAAAACACCTTATGCAGTAGTATCAGCTGAAAACACTCAGGTTTTGTCCTTAGTTTGGTACCGAAAAGCTGGTAACAGGTGTGTCATACACATCATAAATAGTTATTAAAAGCCGGAGAAAAGAACGAAAAAGTGAAAGAGTCAGTAAGTGCACAAAAATAAAGAAAGTACTTTAAAATACTAAGCCAGGATAGTTTTTCAAAAAGTACATTCTCCGACTGCTGTGGCTTGCAAATTGTTCCTCGCCATAGTTTCCTTTGTGCATGAATCTGGGTATTTCTGCAGCTTGTTAGGAAGTCACGTTTGGCAAAACACCCATGTGGCTAATAATTTCACTTGTTGGTCGGGCTGGTTCCAAGGGGCGAGCGGCAATTATTTCAGGTCCCACAGGGACGGTTGAGCCATGTCCCTTCCATGCAAAAAAAGTCTTCTTCATCTTGCTACGAACTGCCGGACACATGACACCGTATATCCACGGATTTAAAGCGCTGCTCAAATAAATGAGATAAGGCACGACCAGAACGAACTGACGGGGAAGTTTAGCCTTCAGCACCAGACGGCTCAGGACAATCATCAAGAAAGCAGGTATCCATAACGCCGCAAACGAAAACACGAGAACGAACAACGCCTTGGTCAAGTTGATCTCTTGCCTCGACAGCTGCGAGGTGGTGTTCACGTTGTGATGGCGGATGAATCGGGACACGCGAAAGTAGCACACCGATATGATTATCAAGCAGCAAACCACAAAAAAGGTGACGATGAAGAACGTGTAGCCAATCTCTGCGTTTGTTGTGGTAAATTTCATTGCACACGCGGCCATGACGGGATTGAAAGCAAATGTGGAGGAACCAGAAAGTATAGGGAGAAAGACAACCACTGCTACAAATACCCACAGGAAAGCAATGTACAGCATCGATCGGTGATAGCTGAAAGCTTTTCTGTACACGTTGGGCTTCAAAACACAAACATATCGATTGATGGCTGTTAGAGCCATAGTCGCAATGGATACATAAGTCAAAAAGTGCATGAAGAAGCCACTTATCTGACAACCAAAATTACTAAGAGACATCTTTCCTTTCGTAAGAGAGGACCAGAATAGGGCTCCGGGAATGAAAGCGTTGAGTAGATCAGTCATCGCCAAAGCTGCGACCAAAATGCCAGTGGAACTCTTCAAGCGAGGCTTTCTGTACAAAGAAACGAGAAGCAGTAAATTGCCGAGGATAGCCGATAGTACTAGAAGTGCAGATGTCGATGATTCGACCACAACAAGTCCAACACTACGTGGTGGTAAGGTGGCCATACTTGCTGCGTGACTGGGAAATACTGGCTTTCTGGGTTTACTTGTGATATCGACTTTTGTCTACTAGTTTCAGTTCGGCATGTACTAAAACCCGAAACAACGAGACGAAACCACCGAAACGAGCGAAACGAGCGAAACAAAACCACCGAAACGAACGAAACGACCGAAACGAGTAAAATAAGAAGTCAATAGATGAAATTAGTATATACCGCACAAGTGAATAGTGCTTTTCGCGCGCTCTGATTGGTTAACTCGGAGGTGATTAGCAAGTACTAATCACCTCCGAGCAGCCGGTGCGAGAGATTTTATAATTTCCAACCGCTTGTCGCACATAAAATAACGTTTTGGTCCGCTAATTATTCAGCTTGTGTGGTATATACTATATTCAGCCTGTGTCGTATATATTATTATTATTATTATTATTATTATTATTATTATTATTATTACTAAAACAATTATTTTCCTCAGTGTCGGTGAAAGTGATGGATATTTACCTCGCCGCTTTGCGGCTCGATAAATATCCACCACTATTCACCTCCACTTCGGTGAATAATTCTTAAAAGTTAAAGAAAAAACCAGCCTTGATCTCTGGCACGTTACTATGGCAGCCTGATCTCGTACTCAGATCCATGTGTGTGACATGTTTGAGCGCAAGGGTGTCGATGACGACCACAAAGAAATCGAGAAAAAGGTGACTATTTTTCACATTTTGAATGGCATTCTAGCTAAAACAAGAAATTTAATTTCAAAGAAAGGTTTCCTGATCGTATCGTGGATTCTTAGGCGGTGGCGAATCGACAACGCCGAGCCCAGGATGTACGGAAACACAATCTCAAGAGTATCCGTGAAGAGCTGAGCGCCTAATAAGAAATTACTTTGAGAGCTGCAGGAGTCACGAGCACCTGACGTTAATATGATTAAAGCCTGTCAAGTCGCCCTCGTTTTTCTTTAGAGATATATATTAAAGAAAGTCCTGGTTCGCACGAAGAATGCTGCAAAG